TAAACATCACAATGGCATCTAACTGAGTTTCAAATTAACCTTATCTATATTATACCACTGATTGTAGTATAACATTGAGCATCAACCTTTATTATAGCAGATGACAAAACATAAAAAGTCATACAAAAATTAATAAAAATATATTTCAGTATAAGGTAAAAATAATTACAATATTTACTGTCAAATAAGTAATATAAAAATACTTTAATGGTTTCACCTCTTATTTCCTGATTTTATACACACACACACACACACACACACACACACACACACACGTATCAGGAAAAAGCAAATGTATGTATTTACTTTTTATTCCCAGGGCTAAGTATTTCTTACCATAAACCAAAAGGCTTTAACATAAATTATTCCCAGAACTAAACATTTATTCTTTAGTTCTGGGAATAATTTATGTAAAGCCTTTTGAGAAATGCAAAACTGATTAGCATTGCTTAATATCATTAACTAATAACACTTCATTATTTAAATCCTCTAAAGTTAGGTACCAGATCCATTAGTCAAAATACTGCTAATAAAAATCACAATTATCATCCTAAAGTCCTTTGAATTATATTAGAATTTCTGTCATTTATTTTCTCAAGCTTGTTAAATACAGAACTGATAAGCAGCATTTCTTATATGTTTTTCAATAGAGATAAGTAAATCTAGTCATTCTTAAGATAGTGAACAAATTGCACACAAAACCCACCCTTCCTCTTTGTATTTCAAATAGTGTACAAAGGTTTGCATAGTACAATACACTCAGCACATACCCAAAGACAAAAAAGAAGGAAATTTGATATAAGGAAATTTTTACATAGTATTACATTCCTCCCTACTGTTACTAAATTAGAATAAGTGACAAATATCCACAAAAAAAACTTAAAGTTTAAAAAACAAAAAAGAACAAAGAAATTACCATGTACATGTGATTAATGACTTGTCCTAAAATAATACATCTTAAAAAAAAACATACAAAAATCTAAAGAGCAAACAAGTTGGAAAATTCAATTAAATATTCTTCATTCCTCATCTTTATTCCGACTATTAACTTCCAGAAACACTAGAAATTATTTTCAAGCATGTTTCAAGCCAGATCAAAAAAAAAAAAAAAAAAAAAAAAAAAAAAAAAAAAAAAAAAAAAAAAAAAAAAAAAAAAAAAAAAAAAAAAAAAAAAACCATACGAATAGCCATAACAAAGTTTTATAGAACTCACCAAATGACAACCCTAGGAAAACTTTTGGGTATGTAAGTAAAAGACCAATCTGTAACAATTACAATTTTTAAAAAATCTCTTAAGACGCCAGGCCTGGTGGCTCATGCCTGTAATCCCAGCACTTTCGGAGGCCCAGGTGAGAGGACTGCTTGAAGCCCAAGAGCTCTAGACCAGCCTGGGCAATATGGCAAGACCCTGTCTATTTTTGTTGTTGCTGTTGTTACTGTTGAATTACCCAGGAGTAATGGTACATACCTACAGTCCCAGCTACTAGACTGAGGTGGAAGGATCACTTGACCCCAGGAGGTCAAGGTTGCAGAGAACTATGATCGCACCACTACAATCTGGCCTGGGTGACAGAGCAAGGCCCTATTTCTTAAAAAAAATAATAATTTTTTTTTAAAGTCTCTTAAGAGAAAATAGTTACTCAAACAAATGAATAACATATAATACCAATCCACAATTTTAGATGATAAATATTTAAATTTACTTTTAAACCACACTAGAAGAGTCATTTCAATTCATACTACTTGCTCTGTTTAACTCAATCTCCCCTTCGCAAATGTTTTAAGATATAATCAAGAGGATGAGGTTTAAAATCAGACCAATGAAAGCCTGATTCTGTCTCCTCTACATCTTATCTCTGACTTGGGCAAGTAACAATCCCTCTAACTTCATTTCCTGAATCCGAAGAATAGGAAGACTTATGTTTTACCTTATGTGCTTGTGGGGAACTGAATGCTCCATACATTCAGCCTAGCCCAGTAAGAATTCCCTAAATGCTAATAATTAGCTAAGTAACAGCTAAAAATGATTTTTAAAATTACAAAAAAATGGGAAGTTAATATAAAAGAACTTTGTTCAGTTTCTAAGCAGACTTTTATTTTTTAAAAACTAGTCAAGTGCAGCAATGAAAAGCAGGAAAGAGTAGAAAAAAGAAGTTCAATCTGTAACTGACTAAATAATCGAGATAACTCACTACCTGAGGACGAATCTAAAGACATTTAAAACATAATTAAGTTATACAGGCAACTACAAGAACCTGTAAAACAATAGCAGACCTAAGAATTATTAAAAATTCTTAATCATTTGAGTTTCTCCATGGTTCTAAACATCTACCCAAAATAAACGCATACAAAAGACAACAATCTAAATTCTTAATTTTTTAAAAAAGACAAAGTCTCACTCAGTTGCTCAGGCTGGAGTGCAATGGTGTAACTACGGCTTGTTGCAGCCTCCACCTTTCAGGCTCAAGTGATGCTCCCACCTCAGCCTCACAAGTAGCTGGGACTACAGCTGCAAGTCACCACACCCAGCTATCTCTCTCTCTCTCTCTTTTTTTTTTTTTTTTTTTGGTAGAGATGGAGTTTTGCTTTGTTGCCCATGCTGGTTTCAAACTCCTGGTCTCAAGCATTCCTCCTGCCTCCGTAAATCCTTATAATCAAAAAATACTCAATTCAAATTACCAAAGGCCATTATGTCCAGGGGTGAGAGCAGGGAGTATTTTACTCATCTTTGTATTCCCAAACCGCAGCACAGCGCCTGAAACAGAGTATGTACTCAATACCTGTTTGTAGCACTAAAATAACAGAAGATAATACAACAAAAACTTCAAATTCTTATTTCAAGTTGTTAACTCTGATTTTCAATGAATTTAGTTTTCATAATACAAAAGTAAAACACAAGTATAATCATAACCTTGATTCAGCAAATATGTGAGTGGCTGCTACTGGAAGGCACTTCTTGTTGTAGGAGCCTGGTATACAACTAAGAAAAACAAAACTCTCTAAACTCCAGGAGCTTATATTCTAACTAGGGTGAGTCAGGAATAAACAATAAGCACAATAAGGAAATTATAAAGTAAGTTGCAATCTGGATGAGAGAATGGATTAAAAAGAGTAGGAAGGATAAAGGGGGTCAAGAATGCTTGTTATCAGTAACTCAAAGGACAACTGCAGAGGAAGAGTCAGCTGTTTGTTTCACATTTTATAGTAGTTAAGAGTACAAACACTGGAAAAGGATTGCCTGGGTTCAAATCTTGGCCTTGAATTAATTACTGCTTCTGTGCTTGTTTCTTAATTTATAAAATGAGAGTAATAACAGTATCAAAAAATGCATATAAATTTTTTGTGAGAGTTCAATAATGCCTATAAAGTTAGTTTTTTTTTTTTTTTTTTTTTTT